ATAACAGTTGGTTCTTTGATTTATTTTGTCCATGTATTTTGCAGTGTATATGCTAAATTTATTATGACTTGTCAGTTTTTGACATGCATTTGTTTGTTTTCTATATGCTTTAGAATACTGACCGTTGTTTGTTTTTCAAGTTTGGCATTTTTTGTTTTGACCAAAACCAGAGTTGTGTTTTTCTTGCACTGTATGTTTAGGTTGAGGGCAGCAGGCATTGGGAGGCCATAAGAAAACCCTATGACCAAAAATGGAAAACCACCAGGGCGTGTGAGGAGACTTGAAAGTGCGCACTCTGGCAGAGGTGTGGCGATGGACGACGAGCAGCAATGGGAGGCCGTACAGGGACCCATGACAGACAAGCCTCTCTGACCTGGCGCAGCAGACATGAGGAGGCTGGTACAGGGGCCCATGGGGACAGATTTACGGGCTGCAGCAGCGATGAGGAGTTCGGCCTACGGGGGCCACATGGCAGATTGTCCGGCCTGGCAGCAGCATTTGGGAGGCAGTTACAGGGACCATGTTGACACACTATGGACCTAGGCAGCAGATGAGGAGGCGGTAGGTACAGGGGCCCAATTAATTTAGATTTTCGGGCTGGGCATGCAGACATGAGGAGTATTATGGTACGGGGGCCCATGAACACACTTTAATATGGCAGCAGCATGAGGAGGCGGAACGGGGCTCATGACATGATTACGAGCGCTCGGCTACGCAGCAACTGGGACGAGTAGGTACGTACGAACCCTCTGGAAACCTTACGGGCAGTGCGTTCAGCTCGCAAACTGTTGTCTCTTGAGGATTCCAACAGCATGTACTGATGACAAGGACGGAACCCGATGAGTTACATGTAGCAGGAGAAGACCTGAAAGTTCACTTATGGGCAAGAGGACAACTGGGGCCCTATGGCCGACCACGCCTGGCAGCCAGCATGAGGAGGCGGACGTAGCCCAGGGTCCCATGGTACCTCACTTAGGACCTGCTGCAGCTATGGGCAAAATGTTCATACCATCGCACCTACAGTTCCAAGACAACGTGTGGTACACTGTAGGAGTGCTGTCGGTCTCAATATTCCAATTTGAGGAGTAGCTGAAAGTGGCATTCATAGCATGGCAGAGTGTGGCGCATAGTGGAGCACTTCAGATACCATGGCTGAGTGTCCAGTGCTGGACCATGAGGCACTCTGATACCTGACAGCAGGGCCCCCATTTACCGCTCCTGAATGTGCTGCTAATAACATAATACACGAGGCACCATTGGCAGATTAGGGGGAGCAAATTCTTGTAGAACATAAGCTGATATGAGGACTGCCCAATTAAAACTTCTGTATCCATCGCGCACGTCCACTATCCAAGGATCAAAGAAAAACATTCTACAACACTTTCCATACAGTGACATTGAACCCACGTTTATAGTTTCAAGGAATGTCACCGGCATGCTTGGCCTCATTCATATATCCCCGACCACATTATCGAGCATCTGGCCACTGCACTCCCTAAAAGCACCATTCCCACCACTATACATACGGACTTTACACAACCTTGAGGAACCCCTATATACCCATTGGCCCAATTACCAAGAGGCCCCCGCAACTCCACATCATCACCCATCGACCAAATATCAATAATGAGCCTCCACCCAACTATAACTAACAACACAACCCAATACAACACCATATCACCCCCAACCCCATCGGAGACCCCTCCACAACCACCCCCTCATGTGGCACCTTGGACCTACTACTCTAAAGGCTCCAAGTTGGGCTCCCCCCTTTCTCACAATTTGCTTCCTATGCCAGCGTTTATAGCATATCCGTAATACAGACTACTAATTCACATTCCAAACAAATCGTCCACACACCTCCATGACCTAATCCTCTGACCGCCCACCCCTCCCCCCTAGCCCTAACTATTCTCCACAGTGCACACTTTCCTAGGTCCGCTCACACTTATACATGTCCGGGTTCTGTATTGACCAAAAATCCTCACTTCAGCAAAAATTTCACCGCCTAGGAATACCCCCTGAAACGGTATCACCTGGCCAGACAGATATACATACAATATCTCCAGAGTCCCCTCTGAAAACATGAACCCACACCCCTGACCCCATGTCCCTACCAGACTCACCTTCTAAACCAACGGAGTTGCCATAGAGGCAACGTCATGTCTCCACCTCACATCCCCGATCCTTAACCTCCGTTCGGCCATACACCATATGGGCCCAAGGCTGCAAGATCTAGGCCATGGCCACCACAACTATCCCTTGCCTCTGTCGGCACCCTACATTCCCTCATAAGCCCTCTCAAGGGGTCACCCCTGCTCGGAGACCTGAAAGGGCCACAATGGCATGAGATGTCATCCCATAGCATAGAGGATTAGGCAGGGTGGGTACCTACCAAAAACACACCTAGAGACCCTCAGGCTAATACATGCCAATGGGTACCCTTACACTCCAAATCTCCACTGCACCCTACTGCAACTCACAGCAGCCGCACCTGCCTCCATGGAACAGTCACAACGAACCTCCCCACCATATCCACCCCTCAAGGGATACCACAGGAGGACTATGGAATTCAAGCAATACCATCCCTATTCCCCTTAACCCAATCTAATCCAAAACATTGCTAGTAACCTCCTATATCCCAGCCCATATCCGCCCCATTTCCTCATGCTCCCCCTTAATCAAAATGGAACCATCACCAGACCTTCCCATCCCTATAATTCTCCCGCTCGCTTGCCAGCCTTACAAAGGGCTCGAGACAGTGTCCCTGGCAGGCTAAAATTATTTTTCGAATAATAGGAGTTAGAGCAACCAGCCTCACTGCCCCCCAGCCCCCGGATCCACCCCCCATTCGTGACATGGTGCCCACACCTGTGACAGCAGGAAGTAGCCAACATCCACGTGTGAGGAGACCCTTAGAAGGACCCCAAAGTTGCATCCCCCCCACAACTCTTCCCAAGTGTGGCAATTTTCTACTACATCATAACCCAGCACCAGGGAAATCCAATCTCCAGGAACTCCATGACACACCTATACTGAATCCAGCTCCACCTCTAGGAGTTACAACATTCTGCCCACCAGCAAATTAACGTTGACCACAGCTCACATGCACCCTCCCATATGCCAGACTCCCTGGGACAAAACCACACTAAATTTACGGGTTCCAAACCCTACCCAGCCACTTCACTAGACCAACAAACAGTGGCCATCCATCCCAGATTACCTAGCACTCAACTCCACAAAAACAGCAGCAGGCCTCCACTGACCATGGGCACCCATGAAGACTACGACTCCCTCTATGGGGAGGCGGTTATAGGTCCCAAGAATTTACAGCCCCCCCAGATCATCATCCCTGTACAACCCATCCCAAGTGCTGCCCCCCTAACCATCCTCTTTATTGCCAAGTCACCCCTTTGCGTGCATAACCTAACTTGAAAACTCTACCACCAACTGTGCCCGACCCCCAACAACTTGACCACCCAATGAGAGCACGTGGACGATTTGACGGTTCACAAGACCCATCAACCCCAGAGCCTAATCCCAATCCACCCTGAAAGACCCCGGACTGGCTGAGCTAGCAATTCCCCCGGGACCGTAAACTCATGGGGTCCCTCTTCCCATAGGGGGGGGGAATTAGGGGGTCCTATCCACGTACCTGTTCCCCCCCCAAAACCCCCCCCCCCCCCCCCACCCCCCCCCCCCCAGCACCCCCCCCTAACCCCCAAGGCCTTCCCCTCCTGCACACACCTTTTCTCCCGACCCCTTATTGTCTGGGCAGAGTTGCCCCCCCTAATCCCAGCCCGTCGTGACACCGAAGACCCAACACACCCCTGCCAGGCCATGCACTCCCTCATGGCAGTCTTGCTTACAACGGTCTATCCTTCTCATCGGGCCCACCTTGTCCCCCACTGTCCTTGCAATGCATTAGGACCCGAAACACATAGTCTTCCACCGCAGAACTCCTCTTCCATGCCCCCAGAGACGTATTAACAACCCAGAGAACCATCCGCCCTACATCAACCGAGGTCAAATAGAACTCACCTCCAAACGGTGCAAAGCTTTAGCCCCCAAAGTGGCACGTGCCCACAGCAGCTGCCGCAATAGATCCACAAAACCCGACCTTCCGCCTCCACACCACCGATATGCCAATTCGGCTCCCCCTGTTAATTCTAAACAAATGCCAACCCCACTACCCCTACACACTAACTTACCTATCCTGTAGCCAAAACCCCCCCTCCCGCCCCACGGGTCCCTCCCCCACAAACAATCCTCATGTTCCCCAGCACCTGTGAATCCCCCCCCCTGAATAGGAGCCCCTCCTACGACTCCGCAGATCAATGCCTAGGTCTCAAACCTTGTATACCGTTACCCCGAACCCAGGGAATGTAAACCTACAGCACGATCCCAAATCTCCACCCACCCCCAAAACCTTCATTTCAACCTTTTTCCTTAGGGTCCACCCCGCAACCACCCACCCTCAAATCCATACAGTCCACCGGACCCCACACTGTTTTCCACCCCAAATGCACTCCTTCACCCACCCTAACACACATCCACCTAACCAAAAACCACCCCTCAACACCACACCCACCACACCCAGCAGTGTGAGGAGCGTCTACCTGAAATACCGCCACACTTCACCCTATTCTTTGGACATAGTGGACCTGGGCAGCAAAACCCAGGAGCGTGTGGTAGGGGCCCATGACAGAGTTGGTGGAAAGGCTGTCAGCAGCTATGGGAGGCCCCGCTACAGCACCCTACAAAAAGATTGACTACACTGGCCAGCAGTGTCTATGAGGAGACCTGAAAGGGGGGCCCATGGCAGAGTTACGTGGCCGGATGGCTCGAGCAGCATGATGGAGTCGGTACGGGGGATCCCATGACACACTCTGGACCTGGGGCAGCAGCATGTAGGAGGGCGGTGTTGGTGTTCAGGGGGCCCTCATGGCAGATTAGAGCCTGGCATAGCAGCAGCTTGGACAGGAGGCCGGTTAAGCTTCTGCACAGCACTGCGTATGCCGCAAACTTGATGTCTCTTGGAAACGGATTCCAAGAAAGTGTGCTGACGGAATCCTGAAGAGTGAGTAGCAGGAGCAGGAGCATGTGGCGATGGAATATGCCAGCAAGCGACGGCGTACAGGGACCCATGAGGAGATTACTGGACTTGGCAGCAGCGATGAGGAGTAGGCGGTAGGTACGGGGGCCCATGGCAGATTACGGGCCCTGGCAAGCAGCAATGGAGGCCCCCCCTTTGTAATCTGCAGCACCCTATGACAAAACATGGAAACCCACCAGCAGTGTGAGGAGACCTGAAAGTGGCACATGGCAGAGTGTGGCGATGGAGACAGCAGCAATGGGAGGCCGTACAGGGACCCATGACTGACACTCTGGACCTAGCAGCAGCATGAGGAGGGCGGTACAGGGGCCCATGGCAGATTAGGGGCCCTGGCAGCAGCTATGGGAGGCCGTAATCTGCCAGCATCCTATGACAAAAAATTGGAACCCAGGCAGCAGTGTGTGAGGAGACCTGAAAGTGGCACATGGCAGGAATGTGGCGATGAATACAGCAGCAATGGGAGGCGGTTACAGGGACCCATGAGTAGACACTGTGGACCTGGCAGCAGCTGCATGAGGAGGCGGTACAGGGGCCCATGGCAGATTAGGGGCCTGGCAGCAGCAATGGGGAGGCCGTAATCTGCCAGCACCTATGACAAAATGGAACAGCATGGGTGGGGCATGGCAGAAACCGCTGTATCTTTATCACGGTTTTCCCAGGCCACCGAATGGCGACGCTGATATGCTGACGCAACGCTGAGGTAGTCCCAACATGGGCCCCCTGCGCCCACGCTTGACTTTCTGGCCACATAGGCGACATACGGCTACGTTTTTACTTCCTCGGAGGGCTTGGACGAAAAAATTGCCACACCGCGAAAAGGAAAACTCTTGCCCACGCTACTCCTCACTGGCTGACTGAGACCTCTCTGTGCACACCGGCACCACTACTGGCGTGGTGGTAGCTGCAGTGGAGCTGGTGCTCTACTCCGTGGCCGTTTGCCTCACTGACACTGCTGCGACCCTGCTGGCCTCCTGGCAGCAGCAATGGGAGGCCGTACAGGGGACCCATGAACACTCTGGACCTTGCAGCAGCATGAGGAGGCGGTACAGGGGGCCCATGGCAGATTAGGGGCCTGGCAGCAGCAATGGGGAGGCCGTAATCTGCCAGCACCCTATGACAAAATGGAACCCAGCAGCAGTGTGAGGAGACCTGAAAGTGGCACATGGCAGAGTGTGGCGATGGAGACAGCAGCAATGGGAGGCGGTACAGGGACCCATGAGACACTGTGGACCTGGCAGCAGCATGAGGAGGCGGTATACGGGGCCCATGGCAGATTAGGGGGCCTGGCAGCAGCTTATGGGAGGCCCGTAATCTGCCAGCATACCTATGACAAAATGGAACCAGCAGGGAGTGTGAGGAGACCTGAAAGTGGCACATGGCAGACTGTGGCGATGGAGACAGCAGCAATGGGAGGCCGTACAGGGACCCATGAGACACTGTGGACCTGGCAGCAGCATGAGGAGGCGGTACGGGGCCCATGGCAGATTACAGGCCTGGCAGCAGCAATGGGAGACGCCCGTAATCTGCCAGCACCCTATGACAAAATGGAAACCCAGCAGCAGTGTGAGGAGACCTGAAAGTGGCACATGGCAGGAGTGTGGCGATGGAGACAGCAGCAATGGGAGGCGGTACAGGGGACCCATGAGAAGACTGTGGACCTGGCAGCATGCATGAGGAGGCGGTACAGGGGCCCATGGCAGATTAGGTGCCTGGCTGCAGCAGCAATGGGAGGCCCGTAATCTGCCAGCACTCTATGACAAAATGGAACACACCAGCAGTGTGAGGAGACCTGAAAGTGGCACATGGCAGCAATGGGATGGCCATACAGGGACACATGTGAGACACTGTGACTGGCAGCAGCATGAGGAGGCGGTACAGGGGCCTATGGCAGATTAGTGGCCCGTGGCAGCAGAGCTATGGGAGGGCTCGTAATCTGCCAGCACCTATGACAAAATGGAATCCACCAGCAGTGTGAGGAGACCTGAAAGTGGGCACATGGCAGAGTGTGGCGATGGAGACAGAGCAATGGTGAGGCCGTACAGGGACCCATGAGACACTGTGGACCTGGCAGCAGCATGAGGAGGCGGTACGGGGGCCCATGGCAGATTACAGGCCTGGCAGCAGCAATGGGAGGCCCGTAATCTGCCAGCACCTATGACAAAATGGAACCAGCAGCAGTGTGAGGAGACCTGAAAGTGGCACATGGCAGGGGCATGATTCATGGCGGATTTAGTCAGTTGTGTCAGGAACTGGTGGTTTGAAATCCAGCTAATCCACGCCTGATTCATTTTCACAAACGTGAGTCTCTCCACACTTTGGGTGGACAGTCGGGTCCTCCGCGGCGTTACAATACCTCCTGCCAGCACTAAACACGCACTTTCCGATGTCATGCTATGGCCTGGCATGACAGCTTTCTCAAGGGCAAATTCAGCTAGTTGGGGCCAAAGGTCAAGTTTCGTTGCCCAGTAGATCAAGGGGATTGTCTACCTCGGTTGGCAGGGTGCTGTCCAAGTAGGCCCAAGCCTGTTGTTTGAGCTCCTGCCAGGTCACCTGATGCTGCTGCTGCTGCTGCGGCTGGTTAGTAGTTTCCTCACTGCGCTGGTGAAGAAAGCTACTCATCATCGACTGCAGACTGAGGCAGCGCTGCTGGTGGAGCTGCCACTGCTCCTACCACCCACCCTCCCCTGCTGCCATGGCAGCGGAACGCGAGAGCACGGGCCCACAGTGTCTGAGGATGGACGTTGGCGCACAGAAAGGCAGAGACCAACTGACTACATAGGTGGTTTTTATATAGTACGTAATTTTGGCCTCCCTCTCAGCAGGTGTGAAACAAGGCCACCATTTTGGACAGCGGTTAGCGAGGGGTCCAACAAGGTGGACAGCCAAAAGTCATCCTCTGTCTGATGGTTATTATTCGGCTGTCGCTAGCAAGCAAACGAGCATGCTATGGGCCATTTGTGCCAAGGAATGCGAAGGGACTCCTGCCTCCATCTCCACCGATACTGCCACGGTGCGTCTGGGTCCTCTGTCTCCTCTCCTCCTCCTCTACCAGATGCTCCTGCTCCTCCACTCCTGTCCGCTGAGTGGAAAAACACCCATTTCACTCAATAATTCCTGAGGCACAATGTCCTCCTCTACCTCCTCCTCTTCTTCCTGTCCTGCCCCACAGGGGTCATGTGGCGTTGAGATCTGTGCGCACGTCTACCGCACCCTGACCAGCCATTGTTAACAGCATTTGTTCCAGGACGTGCAACAGAGGAATGACGTCGTTCATCCCATAGTCCTGCGACTCACGAATAGCGTGGCCTCCTCAAAGGGCTGAGCAAGCGGCAGGTGTCACGCATGAGTGCAATGGCTGACATCGAAGTTACACAGGGGAGTACCTTTATCCGCTGTGTAACATCAGGGAAATCGGTGATGGCCTTTCGCTGTTCGTAAGGCGGTCTAACATGTGTAGGGTTGAATTCCACCTTGTTGCAACGTCGCAGATCAGGCGATGCTGGGGAATTCCGTTTCTGCCGCTGCAGCTCAAGGAGGGTGTGCTTTGCGGTTGTAGGAATGGCTGAAATGCATGCAAAGTTTACGTGACATTTTAAGGATGTCTTGCAGTGGGGATGGTGGATTTTAGGAACGCTTGACAACCAGATTGAACACGTGAGCCATGCATGGCGCATGGCACAACCTTCCTTGACGCAGAGCAGACACCATGTTCTTTCCGTTGTCGGTCAACATGGTTCCGATTTTCAGTATTGCGCGGAGACAGCATCTGTCGATTTCTCTGTTCATTACACTCAGAAGTTCCTCCCTGTGTGACTACGTTCGCCAAGGCATACCAGGTGCAGCACAGCGTGACCCGTTGCGCCCTGCACATGTGATATGCGGTCGGGGTAATGGGACTTGGCACGGGGGTGGGGTGGCGGCTGAGGACACGGCGGAAGAAGAGGTGGTAGAGGCGGACAAGTTTGTGGACCAAGGACAGTGCAAACGTGGAGGGCAAAAGCGGCGTGACCTGTCCAAGTTGCTGGTGCGGCTGTGCGGCAACCACGTTCACCAGTGGGCCGTAAATGACATGTACTGTCCTGACCGTAGTTACAGCTCCACACGTCGGCGCTGCCGTGCACTTTGGCAGAGACCGACATGCTCAAAGACTGGCCCACCATCTCTTCTACATGTGAATGCAGGGCTGGCACTGCCTTTTTGGCGAAGAAATGGCCGGCTTGGCACTCTCCACCGCGGCGCGGCACAAGCCATCATTTCTCGGAAAGGTGCTGAGTCCACCATTTGGAAAGGGAGGGGACTGCAGCACAGCAACTTGGACAGGAGGACGTTCAGCTTTTGCACCGTCGGGTGCGTGCTCGCAAACTGTTGTCTCTTGGAAACGGATTCCAAGAAAGATGCTGACGGAATCCGTGAAGAGGAGTAGCAGGAGAAGGAGCATCTGAACGAGCGGAAGATGCCAACGAGCGACAACTCCCTCAGCAGAGGTGTTGGAGCCTTGACTGGCTGATAGAGGGCGATTGACGTCGGGTGACGGAGCAAGTAACGGAGCGGGTGATGGGCAGCGGGGGCTGGGGCAGGCAGAACCGCCGTAATCTTTATCACGGTTTTCCCAGGCCACCAAATGGCGACGCTGCATATGCTGCGCAACGCTGTAGTCCCAACATGGGCCCCCTGGCCACGCTTGACTTTCTGGCCACATAGTCGACATACGGCTACGTTTACTTCCTCGGGCGGCTTGACCAGAAAAATTGCCACACCGCCGAGTAGGAAACTTTGCCCCCGCTACTCCTCACTGGCTGACTGCTACTTCCTCCGTGCACACCGGCACCACTACTGGCCGTGGTGGTAGGCTGCAGTGGAGCTGGTGCTCCTACTCCGTGGCCGTCGTTTGCCCTCCACTGACACTGCTGCGACCTGCTGCCTGGCAACCCACCGACTGTTTTGCGCTGCCAAGCTGGCACCCTCTTCTCCTGATGATGCGGAAGCAATAGCCCTGATGACGACGAGGCTGCCAAGTGCGATCAGCCTCTCATCATCATCAATTAGGGTCTCCGCCTCACTACTAGCCCCCTCGGCTGGTGTGGGTCAGGAGACAGACCTGTCTCTAGACCGGCTACCGAGCCACTCTCCTCGCCAGTACTTCTTCGCCTGGCTGCTGAAGAGGGGATGTCTCCCCCGTTCCTGACCGCCCTCTGTTAGCTCTTCCTCACTGTACAGTGGGGCTGAGCCCACAGCATGCGATACTTCGCTTGGTGAGGGAACACCAAAGGACAGGGGCAGGTAGAGACGGACACGTGATTTCAGTGGGCTTGCTCCGGGCCTATGCAACTAACGGTTGTGTCTGACGTACCCACCGACCGTTGGCTGTAGGTTGTCAGAGGTGACCTGGGAAGAGGAAGAACGACCGAGCCAACCATCGATGCGGCGGGTTGTCGGTGGAGACACGACCGCTGGATGACACCCGGAGCAATGGCCTCTGGCTGAGACTAGTGCTGCCTCGACCCTTCTTGCTGCCAGTTCTGTTCGCTCCTGAAACATTGCCTCCTCTGCCACTCTTGCTGTTGTCTGGACATACCTTTAATTCAACGATTCTGTGTCCTGAGTAACAATTCTGTTGTCCCTGAGTAACAATTCTGTGTCCTCAGTAACGAATTCTGTGTCCCTGAGTAACAATTCTGTGTCCCTGAGTAACATTCTGTGTCCCTCTAGTAACAATTCTGTGTCCCTCTGAGTAACAATTCTGTGTCCTCAGTAACAATTATGTGTCTGTCCCTGAGTAAAATATTCTGTGTCTGTCCCCTGAGTAACAATTCTGTGTCCCTGAGTAACAATTCTGTGTCCCTGAGTAACAAATTCTGTGTCCCTGAGTAACTCAATTCTGTGTCCCTGAGTAACAATTCTGTGTCCTCAGTAACAATTCTGTGTCCCTCCAGTAACAATTATGTGTCTGTAGTAAAAAATGAGAAACAATTCTGTGTCTGTCCTGAGTAACAATTTCTGTGTCCTCAGTAACAATTCTGTGTCCCTGAGTAACAATTCTGTGTCCTCAGTAACAATTCTGTGTCCCTGAGTAACAATTCTGTTGTCCTGAGTAACAATTACTGTGTCCCTGAGTAACAATATCTGTGTCCTGAGTAACAATTCTGTGTCCCTCCTGTAACAATTCTGAGTTCCCTCAGTAGTAAACAATTTTTGTGTCCCTAAGTAACAATTCTGTGTTGTCCCTAGTAACAAATTTTGTGCCAGTAATTTCTGTGGCCTAAGTAACTTTCTGTGGCCTAAGTAAGTTCTGTGGCCTAAGTAACTTTGTGCCCTAAAGTAACATTTTGTGTCCTAGTAAAATTCTGTGTCCTAAATAAAAATTCTGTGTGTTCCCTGAGTAACATTCGTGTCCAGTAACGTTTCTGTGCCTAAGTAACGTTCTGTGGCCTCAGTAAACTTTTGGTGTCCTCAGTAACAATTCTGTGTCGTCCCTAAGTTTAAAAATTGTGGGCCCAAGTAACGTTCTGTGGCCTAAGAAGTTTTGTCCCTAGTAACTTCTGTGTCCTCAGTAACAATTTTGTGTCCCCCAGTAACAAAATTTGTGTTGTCCCCCGGGAACAATTTGTGTCCCCAAAATAAATTTCTGTGGCCCCGTCGGTTTTTGGGTTAACAAATTTTGTGTCTCCCGGGGAAAATTT